TTTGGTGCAAAAAAAGGAACCGGTTGTTGTTATTTTTATTATTACTATTCTTATTATTATTGTTACATTTCAGGAAGCCTATTCAAAGACAGAGGAGATGAAACCTTTTTCTCTCTCGATCTTTCCATCACACTGTTATGTTAACACTACAGCAGATCAGGGCTCCTCAGGTGTGATGCCCCCCTGACCCACCCTTCCTCGCCCCACTCTCACCCACAGAGCCCGATCACCACGGGCCGCCACTCACCCTGGGCTTGCTGCCTCCTATGGCTCCGGGACGGATGGAGCCGGTCTCCTGGTACCGGCAGAGAATCTTGGAGACGCAGCCGTGAGACACCCGCAGCTGTCGCGAGATTACGCACGGCCGGATGCCGTGGTGGGCCATCTCCACTATCTTGTGTCGGATGTGATTTGGCAGCGGCCTCCCGTTGATGAACACTCCGCCAAGCTGGTTCACCCGACCCTGGCCCAATGGGGTGGACACTGCGCCACAACAAACAACAACATCAGCCTCGGAAATAAACAACAACACAAGGTGCAGAGTGTGCTGAGTGGATGCAGTTTTAGTTTGTGTGATGTATAGTGGAACAGCAGCATGTTTTTGCCATGTTGCTGACTTTGACCAGGACGCAGGTTACGCACATTATCTTTTCATACATTTTCAAGAGCCAGATTCATCCAGCGTCAGTGACAGGATGTATCCGAGGCCACTCCAGGCTGCAGCTCCACATTCAAGAGACACTGAGCAGGGTGACACTTCCCACCTTGATTATTCCTAGTCATGCTGTACAAATATTGATGTGATCCTTTGAGCCGTCTCTTTGCCGTGTGTGTTATTGCCATTTCCAGCAGCAGGACACTTGAACAAATCCCCGCAGCTCGAGTCACTTGCGAGCTACGTGGTTTTTGTCCATTTCACTCCAGAGCACTTGAGCACGCAGCGGGCGTAATGGGAAAACTGCTCCCGTAAATGCATGCAAATACAAAAGTGATCTTTTTTCCGCCCATATGTTCAGACGGCTGGAGTGTGGCGGGGTTGGAAGTTTTCAGAAATTACCAATTTAATTGCTTGTGTGTGCATGGGAGTGTGTGTGTGCATGTATATGTGTGTGTAACAATCGAGGATGGACTTGTAAAAGTGCTCCTTGAGATAAGGAACCAAAACATTGCTTATTATCTAGTTTAAAATCGCATAAAGGCAAATTATTGGTACATTGGCCTGATTTTTTTAATACACGTCAAATAAAATAATATTCAGGCCTTGCATACTCTTATAATTTAAATTACTTAAATTATTAT